GTATACATACAATGCTGTGCAAAACTCTTGAGCAACCCTTCATTTCTTTTTACTTTGCCAGGAAAATGTTGAATAGAAGCAGTGATTTATTGAAATATACAGACATAGATGCAAATGCAGTATATAAGGCAAAAACAGAGTGTATACAATTCTAACGAGTTTGAGAGTAAATATTTGTTTCGACCACGTCTCTGTTAGACAGATTTATATTTTTTTTCTCCAAGCAGTCTTCAGGAATAGTTTCCCAGGCTTCTTAAAGGACATCCAAAGCTCTTCCTTGGATGTTGGCTGACTTTTGTTTTGTGTTCTCTGTCAAAATAATTCCACACTGACCATCAACCTTCAATAATGTTGAGGGCCCTGCTCTAGGTAAGTCGATCCATAACAGATAGTGTTGCATTGTGTTTTTATTGTTTTGTGTTGTTTTTTTAATCCAGATATTCTTTTACTACAATGGCAGTGTGTTTGGGATCATTGTCATGCTGACAAATAAAGCTGTACTAATCAGATGGTTTCTAGATTTTACTGCATGGTGGATCAAAATCTGACGACACTTTTCAGAATTCCATAAATTGTGAGAACACAGCAGACCCAAACCATGCTAGAGTCTCCACCATGTTTTACAGATGGCTCCAGACACTCACTGTAGTACCTCTCCCCGACATCCTCCCCGCATACCGACTAACTAAAAATGTCAAATTATTATTCATCACTTAATCAAACAGCTGACTTTCATTTCTGTGTCTTGTGTAATTTGGCATACCTCTGATACTCCTCACTTGGTGGGGTGTTTTTGGCCTACCACTCTTCTTTTGTCGTCCACTTGTCCAGTTACCTCAAATTTTCTAATGATCCACGGCACACTACACTGAGCTAGGTCAGGGTTTTGATGAATACTCTTTGGGAATCATCTTATTGGTGAAAGAAGACTATTTTTATACCTGTCAAACTGTGTTATCTTTGACTAAACTAAAGAAATAGCTTAAAGATACAACTTAAAATGGGCTCTTCGCTAAGTTGTCTGTAAAACACTGGTTCATCCTTTGAGGGAGGTACCTTTTTATGCTTCAATGATTAATGGATCACTGTTAAGTGACTTATCAAACAAAACAAAAAAAAAAACTTTCCTCTGAAAATGATCAGGTACAAATACTGCACTAAAAATGAGTGAAAAAGCAGCCCATGTCCAAAAAATACCTCTGAAAGCTCCTCATAAATCACAGAGAACAATTACTCAGGACCACTTAAAAAAATACAAAACAATTTTGTTTCATGTTAGCAAAATATAAAGATAGTAGATCTGGCTGAGAATGTTTGCACAGTACTATGTGTTTGCGTGCTTGCAAGCCATAAGCACACATAAATAAACCTCTTATGAAGATGGATTTTTCTTATGCTGGAAATCTGCCTCGATCTGGTTTATTGAAAATTATAGTCAAACACATTTTAGCTTGATAAAACTTAGAGTTAGAGTGCCCGATCATGTGTGAGTGTGCATGCGTGTCTGCAAGTACCTGAAACTCTGAGGAGTGAGGCCAGATTGAGCAGAGTGGTGGACTGCTTGTAAGCTGTGGAGCAGTGGGCGATGCACTCCTCTACGAGAGACAGACGGTCTGATCGCAGTCGCACTGGAGGGAACACGAAAGACAGCGGGGATGGGTTTCAGACTTGTTTTGCTAATTACTATATTCAATCTGGAACAAGTAACGACTGATGACAAAGTGATAGGAAATTATGAACAGTGAATGATAAAGCAGCAGATGTCAAGATGTCAAGAAAAATAATATAATGCTGTATAATTCATACGCATGTAGCCCAGCCCTAGTTCAGTGATAGACTGATGGATACTGCTGACTTATTCTGCATAATTAAATATTATTAAAATTAGGGCGTGGATGTGTCAAAATGTCCATGCATCTAGTCAGTATTAAAATTGTATGTGGTACGTGTTGAATAGTAATTTTAAAAAAAACAGCAAAGTAAGCTTCAAGAATAACAGATTAATGTAATTCATCCATGTGGGACCAATGACAAATTCAAGTGTCCAAAAAAAACTGTGTTTGTCTTCTCCTATGGGACGATTTTGCCCAGTTATACTGAAAATTGAACACATAGTTAACAAATATGGCAGTAATTGTTGGATGCAACCACTTCAGAATTAAAAAAAAAAAAAAAAAAAAAAACATAACCAGAAAATTGGACAAAAATATTGTGTGTACTTTAAAACATGAGTTTACAGCAGTCATTCACATGCCAGTGCTAAAATATTATCTTTCATAAGGCATTTTGAGTGGTTTTAATATTAAAGGGGTTCTCTGAAGCATCTATCAGACCATGAGATAGTTGAAGCATTTGGTTTTGTGGCTATAATCCTTAAAAAAAAAGCATGAGGGTGGTCTTAGTTATTTAATTAACTGTGGAACTTTTCAATATGTTGTACATTAGGAAGCATTGTGTTGTAAGTCATAAGAATAATTAGAATATATCCCAAATACGTCCTTTAAATGAATGAGAGTCCTGTGTCTGA